GCGTTCTTTGGTTTGTGAGTGCGCGGAGGAAGAATCTATGACTCTCCCTGCTGCTGCTGCTGCTGCTGCTTCTCCTGCTGCTGCTGTTTCTGCTGCTCCTGCTGCTGCTACTGCTGCTGCTGCTTCTGGTGCTGCTGCGTCTGGTGCTGCTGCTGCTTCTGTTGCTGCTGCTGCTGCTCTGTTTCATCCCCGCGATATTTTGTTTGGGATGCCAGCAGCAATTCCTGTTGATTGTGCTGCTGCTGCTCCTGCTGCTGCTGCTGCTGCTGCTGCTGCTTCTCTTTTTAATGCTGCTGATAACCTGCGGATACACCCCAGCTGCTTTCAGTTGCTGCTGCAACCCAGCAGCAAACAGCTGCTGCTGCTGCAGCAGCTAGTTGCTACCGGGCTCACACTCCTAGAGGAACTGCAGCAGCAGGAGCAGCAACAGCAGCAGCAACAGCAGCAGCAGCAGGAGCAGCAGCAGCTGCAGCAACAACAGCAGCAAAAGCTGCAGCAGCAGCTGCAGCAACAACAGCAGCAACAGCTGCAGCAGCTGCTGCAGCAACAGCAGCAAGGGGAAAACGCAGAAAGAGAAAAACAAAACGAAGAAAAAGAAGAAGAGAAAGAAAAACAACAAAAACAAAAAACACAAAGCGAAGAGAACGAAGAAGAAAAACAAAAAGAAGATAAAGAAAAAGAAAAAGAAAAAGAAGAAATGGAAAAAGAAGAAAAAGAAAAAGAAAGAGAAAAAGAAATAGAGGAAGAAGAAAAGGAAAAGGAAAAAGAAAAAAACGATCAAAAAGAAAAGGAAGAAGAAGGAGAAAAAGAAAAAGAAAAAGAAAAACAAGAACAACAACAACAACAAGAACAAAACGGAAAAGAAGAAGAAGAAAAAGAAAAAGAAAAAGGAGAAGAAAAAGAAAAAGAAAAAGAAAAAGAAAAAAAAGAAAAAAAACAAAAAAAAGAAAAAGAAGAAAAAGAAGAATTAGTGTGTGACCGTTTGGTGGTGAGGGGAGATATCGAGGAAAGCCAATCGGGGTGTATAGGCAGCTTTTTGTTTTTACTAAAACAAAAAAAAGAAGAAAAAGAAAAAGAAGAAAACGAAGAAAAAGAAGAAAGAGAAAGAGAAAAAGAAAAAGAAAAAGAAGAAAAAGAAAAAGAAAAAGAAAAAGAAGAAAAAGAAAAAGAAGAAAAAGAAAAAGAAAAAGAAGAAAAAGAAAAAGAAAAAAAAGCAAAAGAAAAAGAAAAAAACGAAAAAAAACAAAAAAAGCAAAAAGAAGAAAAAGAAGAAGTTAATGTTTTTTCTTCTTTTTCAATCGACGGCAGAAAAATTTTTTTTATTTTAAAAAAAAATAAATTTATTTGTGGAGGGGCAACAACAATACCAGCAGCTGTAGGTGTTCT